ATATATATATACACATATATATTTAATATACATATTGTTATAATGTTAGACTAATGGGATGTAGATTGAGATTCCAATATGAAATCGCAGACTAATTGCTTGAAAGCTAGTTTATTCGGCGCCTTTTGAATATGGGGCGGTAGAGCGTTCCAGAGTCGTATTGCCTGAAGAGTAAATGAGTTAGAAAGAAAACCAGTATGGTGAGAAGGAATTAAAAGAGTCAATTTGCTGTCGGAGCGAAGATGCGATTATGGGATGCACCCAAATATTGAAATTTACATTTCAAATATCCAGGTGCACATTTATCATTAATGGTAGAGTAAAGAGCGGAAAGTACTCTCAAATCACGACCCTGGCGAATCGTAAGCCACTTCAGCTAGTAATCAAATTTTCAAAAAATCATATACATCTATTGTTACAAAAATAAAAACAATGTTTTCAGCATAGTAAAAGTACAACAGAATGACTGGCACGTGACAAGATCAGACTCTGATTCCTCAGCTGGAGTGCAGCATTCACCGTCACCATCACCTCCTCCACTCCCTGAGCCCGGGGAGCCCGTGACCCAGGAAACCTTTATGAGGTAAGTTTACTTCATTTAACTGTATGGATCCTTAGTTTCCAGTATGGGATTTAGTTTAAACACTGAAGGTTTTCTGTAGTAAAAACAGAAGGTGTGCTTTAGTAAAACATATTAAAAAGTTAGTGTGGTATTTTTGGGCAAAACCATCAAACCTATGTTGATAAAAGAATCTAAACAATCTAAATTTACCAAGACATTTCCTTTTGTAATTTTATTTTAAAAATTTATGTACATCAAAAAGAAAAGAGGCGTAAAAAGAAAAAGGTGATATGTACATGTTGCTGTGCTAATAAAATACATTATGTGGTTTTCGGTTTGTAGGGTTTGTTTTTGTACCAACTCATAAATGTAATAACTATACTATATTGTTAAAGTACCTATAACCGTAACCTTTACATCTCCCAGAGTTTGAAGGATGTTGTTAAAAAAAAAATTAAACAGTTTTTCGTATGTTTTTTCTTAGACTCATTGGTCTGGTGACTCACTCTCAAAGAGAATTGCTGGAGAAGAAGCGCAATGAGCGACGAAAAAGGTCTACCACTAGCACCAATAGAACTGACTTCTTGTATGGAAACTTTGATATGTTACCTGCTGTATGTATTACTACTAATTATTGTTACCTTTATAATAACTACATTGTATGCAAATTGTCCCTTAACATAGACCACCACTTATCAAAACAGCTTCATTTTCCAGTAATGAATAGATTTAGGCGTTCCTTTGCAGAAGTCCATGTTAATAAAAATGGAAGTAAATTTGCAATTGCAAATTTAAAAAAAGTAATTTGCTACTCCCTGAACCCAGTGAAGGTTAAATCATGCAGAATAAATAAGCTCCATTTTCTTACAGAAACGGAAGAAATACAACAATTTCCCGTACCTTCAAACCCACACTGATCCACCACAAACTCGTTCAGCAAAATTACGCAAGCAACAGGTAATTATAATTAAGGATTTTATTTATTGTTATAATAAAAATAATCATTCGTGTAGTCACGGAAGAGAGTTACTGTACTTAAGCAATAGGGACAGGTTGGACCATATCATCTGACTTTAGACCATGGGTATCTGATGTCATGTTAGGTTTTTCATTATATGCAAAAAACAGTTCTTCAAGCATAGCATAAGGTATTTAAGAATTTAGTATACTGTACTGTATTTAGTATAGTGTACTCAATGGATCATAGAATATGTTGTTAAAATAGATGTAGGTTCGTAAAGAGCCTTAATGGGCAAGGTATTCATAAACAGTTAGTTTTCTTTTCAGAATCAAAGCTGCCATAACAAAACATCGCGAGATAATTCTCGCGAAGGTTCACCATCGGGTTCGTCCACAGAAAATAAAGATACTAAAGAGAATAAAGGTGATTGACGGATTTTTATTACTTTTGTACTTTGTAATTATTTTTTAAAAACTTTTGTAGTTAAAATTGACAGAAGGACATTAATGTTTGTGTTGTAAAACAATTTTATGTGTCTTTGAGACACAAAAGAAAGCCCTTAGTCTTAATTTTAAGTACAAAAAGAACTCCTTTCATTAGGTAGCATAATCTAAAGAACGAAAAAAATGGACCAAGCGATTTCTTGGACTTAGGTTGATCTTGAAGTTAAGTCAAGATAGGGAGTTTATTTTTTTTTAAAACATAACATCGAACTGGCAAAGTTAGAAACAAAACGGTGAGACTAAACCATACACAATGTTGAGTTGTCGCAAACGGTGATAATAGTGCATAAAATTCCAGACTTAGGGTTTCTTGAACTGGACCATTCTTACAGATTGGGCATTTAATGATTCTAATTAGGCATTACAACTATTTTCTGAGTCGGTATTGTTTTATTTAATCATTCAAAGTGGGTATGTAATTTAACAATTAACAAGACCACGAATTTTTATTATTATTTGTTAACCAATTTCAACATTAACAGATTTTATTTGTGTTAGGTTGGGGAAGTAATAAGCCTGCGTGGGTGGCCGCACTACCAGCGGGGCTTTCAGTAGAGCCAGTATTTTCTCCGGCCAAGAAAGTTTGCCACGGTTGCGGTAGAAGTGGTGAGTACATAATTCATAGTATAAAATTCGCCATATTGATTGTATCCAATGCCCCATTTTGGGCGCCAGTTGTTAACTCGCGTTGTTATGATAGAGAGGTTTTGCGGTTCCACCTGGACTAGGTGTTTAAATATATTTATTTTTATACATTTTAGAGTTACAGTCGGGTTTTTATTTAGGCACACATAGCTAACATTAGTGTGTTTTAGCTATTTATGAAATGGACTTTAGTGACATACTTAGTAGGAGAACATCAATTATAGAAATCCATTTTGACTAATCCCTTTTCAGTTCTTGGAGTACAGTGCCTCTACATTAGCAATAAACTCATGTATTGGGACAGTTGTCGCTAGCGTCCGCGGAAATTCGTTCACAATTTTGTATGGCAAATTAGTTAGCGCCCTTAGCGGTCATAAGAAGAACCAACATTTTGTTTACAAACTTTTTACGCGGTTGCTAGCGTTAACGGTTACTGTAATCTCATGGTACTGATCCGAACACATCACTTATACAACAAGTACATCATTGCAACAAGTATAATAAGGCACCACTGTTTTACAATTGTCATTAGGTGCTGTCGTTTTTGTCTGTCCAAATTCGAGTTTAGAACTCCAAATAAACTGTAAAAAGTATATATATAGAAAATATTACTCAATGTCCTTGACTCTCCGTACAGTGTCTAACTGTGAAACGCGATTTGGATACATTAACTTTTTTAAAGCTTAAGTTATTTCGCTTGTAAGTAAAAAATAATGCTCTTTGGTAGACGTGCCGTCACTATTAGTATGGTGTTCGGCGTGTAAGGTGTGCGTTCACACGGGGTGCGGTGTGGAGGGACGCTGCTGCAGCTGCCGCGCGCCGCTGCCTGACCCGCTGGCCACGGCGCCGAAGCACCACACGCACCAGATCTACAGAGGTCAGTACAGCTTCAAAGAAACGTGCAGACATTTGCCGTGCGTCTGTACAAGACCCAAGCACCTTTTCCCTCCTCCACAAACACAGATTATTCCGTGTTCACAACCTTTATTTCTAGTATAGCTAGCCACTTCTTTTGTCCATTTATGTTTTTTGGTAGGTCCATCCTAAACACTTTTAGCGACTTCATCAAAATTTGAATTTTTGAATTTGAGCTTTAGTTATACAATAGCTTTTTGAATAGCAACACACTACTGGTATTTTAGTAGTATTCATACTCACAGATTTGAGGCCATCAACGTAAAAGTGGTGTAACCCACATTTATTTTTTTCTTCTTTACAATAAATAATACTAAAGTATTATTTTATAATTATTATATATATTATTTATATAATTATTTTATATGTATATGGGTGCTAATTCCATGTATAAAAAAATTAATCATTATTTTTAACTTTATTCATTGCGAAATTACGCCACTAATTTGTTATAATTATTAATAACAATGATTGAAGACTTAGAAAAATTCAATCCATCTGACCGAATTCAAATTAGCACCCTCAGGCAATCCGTGCCAGATGCTAAGCCACGGAAGGAACCAGCAGCAGACCTTACGAATTTTTCTGTGTGCTTCTTGTAGATATTTGTTTTTTGGTTTATAACGACTTTTTTGCCGTAGCGCCATCTGACAAATTTATATCTTCACTCAGAAAGGTACCTTTACAGCCCGTCGTCGTCACTGACTAGAGATGTCGCTATAATTGTAATTTTTGAGTTTATTAAATCACAATGTTTAAATATTTTTTATACATCCAAATAGCACCAAAATATCAAATAATTATGTACGTACTTTAGTATCATTTAAAATAATATTCTAAAAAAAAAAATGTGGGTTACAACACTTTTGCACTGATAGCCTCAATAGATAGCCTCAATAGATAGCGTATAGAAAAAAAAATAGTTTTAATTAATTGATTATTTAATTAAGTAATAATAAAAAATCCACAGATAAACTAGCAGAACGCAAACGTCTTCAAGAAAAGAACATTGAATTGTGCGTGGAACTTCGTAAGCTAGAAGCGCGAGCTGCAACACTCAAGGAAAATCTCGATGAACATAATGCAGAGAAGAGACAACTACTCGCAGACCAGATTAAAACTCAACGGAACTTACAGAAACTGCTAGACTTCATCAGCCAGTTTAAAGAGACCTCAATAAGCATCCGTTCCACATCGATTAGCGAAACTGGCAGCGAGATTAGTAAAAGTAACGAAGATTAAAAGGTATTTTTTACCTAAGTGTTTTACTTCTTTTTATTTGTTAATAAACTTATGTCTCAGGATGACAGGCGCAATGGCAATTTTCGTTAGATCTTTGCGATTTAAAGCTCTAGGCCTAGTGTGTGGCACACAGAGTGGAACACCAGTCACGACCAGGAACACTTGTTCGTCCCATTACTTAGTATAATAAAAAAGTTAATGTTGATTATGTTGGATTTTTTAAATTTGAGAATTTATTACTATAGCTTTACAGTCCAAAATTGAGGCTATCAGCGCAAAATTGGTGTACCCACTTTACAAAAAAACAATATTACTTGTAAATTATACTCAAGTATTTTTTTATTTATGGTACCAAGTGACGGGACGATCAAGTCGTGCACCTGGTGCTAAATGACACGCCTATTCATAACAGTTGCAGTGCCACGTGCCTGTAATTCCACCAGAAACCTTATTACCCTTCAAAATTGGAACGCAGTAATGCTAACATTACTGCTTGACGGTGCAAATAGATAAGGTGGCGGTACTTTCCTAGACGAACTTTTTCACTACACCTGTCCCCATAGTAAGGCTACGCATATAGTCGCGACACGCGCGGTAAAACTGAAATAAGCGCGCGCTTATTTAATTTTATCGCGCGAGTCGCGACTACTATGCGTAGGGTACGGGGGCAACGCCACTATAATTCGAATTGTTCTTTTGACGACGGCTAGCAACCAATGTGCATTGTTATTACCGGGTTGCAAGAAAATATTTTTGTTTTGAAATATTAGTATTGTATTGTTCAAAATATTAGGAAATACAGAGTTTTAGTACTTACCGGTGAAATGAAATCACTCCCGGAGTATTTTTTAAACTTTGGTTTCTTACGCGACATGATGTAATGGCACAACATATGTCTATTTTTTCCACAAAATAATCTTGTATCACATTTGAACGACAACTGACGCGCTGTTGACGCTCATGCGAAAACGTCGGGGAAACGTCATAAGCTAGGTAACGCGGGCCCCGCCTACTAACCTTTATTACTGGTATTTATGTGGTCTGTGCTCACGCCGTTAATCCGTTGCTAGTGTTGTGCAAGTTTTGATTTTAATGTAGTGTTATGAACTGTAATGTGGAGTTATGCAGCAAAACGTGATGCCAGATATTGTATTCATAAAGATCTACTTTATGTTGATATGCCCTTAAAGTTATACCCTCTATATAGAAGAAATATTGTAATACAGTAGAATAGTATATCACATCCCCTTGAGCAAAACGTTCCAATATCAAAACTATCAAGAAGGTAATTCAAATAAGAATTATGTAAAGTCCCTGTTTTGTTCCTATGAAGTACTGGTAGACCTACTTATTTCTATTCGTCAATTATTGTTAACCGACTTCAAAAAACCTCCTCCGGTTCTCAATTTGACTGTATGATTTTTTTTTCTATGTTACGCGATAACTCCGGTATTCCTGAACCGATTTTCATGATTATTTTTTTGTTGGGTGGCTTTTAAGGGTGGCTGTTCACGCATGGAGATCATTTTTATAAATAGCGCCTAAATTTTACTTAAGGAGCAATTATTTTAATGGTTGATTTTGCTATTTCTCCAATTCAAGGCGTTTTTCTCTTAATATACTTTGAGTAATGAGAACCGATTTTTATATATTTCAATAAAACTTAGCAAATAGACGTAATTCCACGTACTTTAAGGTCGGTTTTTTTAGTACTCTGTACTGAGATTATTATTTATTGTTGTGGATATTCCAAAGATTCGCATGAAGCATTTCGCAGTTTTGTAGCAGTAGAGCTCCTTGTGAAAGAGTTCGTCCAGAGAAGTACTGCCATCGTACCTATTTCTCCCGCCAAGCAGTAATGTGAGGATTACTGCGTTCCGGTTTTGAAGGGTAAGGGTGTTGGTGAAATTACAGCCACATGCGACTTTTCAACTTATGTCTCAGGGTGATGGGCGCAGTGCCCACCATTTTATCAAAAAGTGATTAAAAACTGAACCGACATCTGTAACTGTGGTCGTGGTGGACTTTATCAGATATCATTTTTCATTCATAATTGCCAAACCTTACTTTTTTAATACAATAAAAATTTGAATCATTGTCATATAAATTTATTGTTTTATTTTGAATTACGAAACAAAATTCTTGTTGAATAACCCTTTATAAGGGCCAAACTAACAATTTGGTCGTTTTCACTTCTTTGTGGGAAGTGCTTCACTGAAATGCCCACAATAAAGTGAAAATGATCAAATAGTTAGTTTGGCCCTTATACTTAGAACCCATCGATTTCTTTGTTTGTTGCAGGTATTACCAGGCGTACGAGTCAATAAGGTCTGTGGTAAATGTTGTCTCATTAGGTATAGTCAGGCATAATAATATGCCAGTAGTTCAAATATTGTTAATGGTTTTTTAAGCCATAGGGTAAGGAACAGATAATGAATTTTATATTAAAATCCAGAGAAAGTTCCCTTCAAACTCATCAATATTTTGATCAGTGAAACATTTAACCTAGTACAATATTTTTTTATCAGTACATATAGTACTGATGGTGTATAGTAATGTCAGTATATGAATTATTAAAATTGAATTTTCCCCAAAAGCCCGTAATTTGATAACGAAATTGACATATGAACGCTTACATATGAATGTATTCTACATATGAATGTATTCTTGCATCATGCAATAATATTTTTTCATAGACTTGCAAAATAACCGATGTTAGTTTAATTTATGTTGATTATGTATGTGAATCTGTTGATTTTAGGTATAATATGCATATTTTTTTATTCATAAAAGGTTAGCCAAAAAAAGTGTTCAGTATTGATTCCTAATATAATTTAACCTAGTGTTGTAGCGTAAGCGATCATTTACAAAATAGTTGGAATTCTTTGTTTTTAGCGAAATAAGTTTATGAATTAATTGTTCTCTGTGATATGGGTAGGTTATCTTTGGTTATTACTTTGTAAGTTTACCTACGACCTTTGTAAAATATACCAGGGTTTTATCGTAAAATAAACATTCTCAAATTTGTATTTCTTATTTTTTTTACTTTTAACTAAGCAGTAGATGAAACACTAAGAAGACTGTTCTGAATTTCATTACACTGGTAGTTCAGAAAATCTTGTCACGCGTTGTGTGGAATCTAGTGGTCTACTTCTACTACTTTCTTGCTCGAATCAATAGCGATTCTCAAAGAATTAATGCTCTCTTCCAACAAGTCGCATTCGAATTCGGACAAGTTCGTGTACCTGGCCATTTCGCCCGCGCCGTTCTTATCCACGTACACAAGTCCTGAGAAGAATGATGTTCCGAAGTCGTTGTTTTCCACGTATGCATGCACTGGGGTCAGTTTTCCATCCAGAGCTCTCAATATAGCACGAGTAAACAACAACACCCCGTAGGCATTTGCTAACGCAGGACCGTGTCCATTTTTAGCGTCGGTAATAATTTCATCCCCACTCCGAATTTTCATTGTTAACTCTTGAATGAGAGCCTGATCCAGATTTACCAGAGGCATCGCCTGAGACAGCAATGGGACCATAGTCTTTTCTGAATGCCCACCTATTACATGAACAGTGCAATTATTGGCGTTCAAATTGCATTTGGTCGCGTAAAGAGTTTGTGCTCGGAGAGCGTCGATACCTGTTATTCCGAATAACTTATTTAGCGACAAATCTCCGCTACACCGCATTATTTCTGCGGCTATTGGCACAAGAGTGTTAATCGGCTCGGTAGCGATGCCCACGAACGGTATATGTCGAAGGCCGGATACAGCCTTTGCAAAATTTTTAATAAAAGTCGTGTTTGTTAAGAATATGTCTTTGTTCGGTATACCAGGTGTTTCGCAGATTCCACCGGTTGCTAAGATAATGTCGGCATCTTCTATAGCTTTGTACAGATTAGTGTCGCCAGTGAAACCTTTAATTTTGGGTTCTGACGGAATGTGCGATATATCCATGATGGTTCCCGTAATGTACGGTAACGTGTCGTGAATAGTCAGCTTTGTGATGTTAGGTTCTCCACGAAGTAGCATGCAGGCCACTTGTCCCATCTCGCTACCTCCACCGACCACAGCTACGTTGTAGTGCTTTACATACAACGGCAAATTCAAAAGTGATGACCACTGTGAACGCAATCTTTTGGTTACAAACATTTTTACTGTTTTTTAAAAACTCTTATACATATCTTGAGAAACCAAAAATATTGAATGGCTTGTAAATTTATATACGACAAGTCACATGATTTGACTTCTGCTTAAAAATATCTCGTTTTTCGTATGTCAGAGTAATGTCGTAGTTCGGTTTACTTAGAGGATGGAAAAAAAGGAAGTTTTATAAGGTTCCATAGTCAATCTAGAAACTCCAATCATAAAGGTTCCTAAATTGAATAATTGTTTCTAGATACGGAATGATGAAAAAAATTTCATCATCTCCGTTTGCCTTTCGATCGTACAAGAAATATATTTACAAAATTTTTGGAAAGTCAAAGTAGCTCTCATTGCGTACCATAACCCCATATGTATATATGTATAACTTGTAACATAATGTAATCAAAGGGCATTACGTAACGGAGCTGTGTCAAAGGCGTGTCCGACACGCGCACGACTTGTTCGTCCCGTCACTTTATATTATAAAAAACAAAAAAAACGTATATTATAAAGAGTGGATATTTAGGAGATGGCAAAAATTTCTATTTATTTTAAATTTCTTATCAAGGGTGTTAATTTGGATGCATTACTTTAAGAATAGGTAAAAGCCAGTGCGTGAAAATAAAGGAAATGCAATGTGAAATCCTGCAAATTTGTATATGCAATGCATTTATTGCATTTCAGTTACTTTGTGCTTTAAGTAAGATACGAGTTCGAGAAAGTAAGGCGATGACATGTCAACTTTATATTATATATTTTACGTTATAGGTATTTATTACACATCGTCCCTAAATGAAAAAGAATTCGGCTGTCACTTTGCCAAAGAATTCGTAAGTTATCAAAAAATCTTTTTCTACTTTGTCAAGATTTCCATGTATATTTTAGCCTTGAAACAGCATTAAACCTAGGACAATTTATTTCTTAAACTAAGTTTAACTGTTAACTAACCGTTTAAATAACTAAAGTGATTTACGCATGTTAAATGTTAACCTTTGAGGCTGTGCTGATGAACAACACGATGGCGGCTTTATAATAAAAAATTCTATAAAAGTTTCTCATCATCCACATTATTTCGCTAGGTCGTGCAGGATTAAAGCGACATTCAGGTGGCAATCCAACCACTTGTTGTACGCTGTCCTTTCAGCTAGTATCACTACCATTCTGAACGAGTACCTAGTATATCGCGAGCTGATTGCAAACACTATTCCTTTTATATCATAGAGAGATTAAAGATCTGGCACCCGTGTGGGCTGCCATATGTGCTTATACTTTGGTCTCGTCTCCCATCCAAGCGCCAGTACCTATTATTAAAAGTTGTCTCCTTAGCTGAGCTGGTGGAAAGATTGAAAAGTTAAGAGCGCCGGAATTTCAGTTCCGACTAACTATTTATTCGCGTCCTTCAGAATCGACGCCCTGAGTACGTGTAGTTTCAGTGACGTATTAAATGAAATTCTAATAAAATTCTATCCTAAAAATTTTGAACATACTGGACACCCAAAGGCTGTCACTCATCATCACCTGTTTAGGAGCAACGTTCTTGTCGGTGTAGCTTCCTCCACTCATCACGGTTGGCACTGGCCAACTTATTAGCATAGACAAATTATGAAGGGGGAAAGTTGCCAGTATTTTTTTGCACGTAGGACTACATTCGAGTTTTTAAGTTAGGTATTTTTCAAATTTTTCTTTCACTATTTAAAAAGCAAGATGAAAGTAGAATTAATTGTCAAATCATTGACCACTAAATTACTTGACAAAAAATATATAAAAAAATAAAATATACATTTTTAAAATGTATTGGCTTGTGTGAAAATTAACACAACTGGTTATATAATAAAAATTTTGTGAAATAAGTGTAATCAAAATGTTTACCCATAAAATCTGTAGCCGTAACATGGTTATGGGACTGTCCAGTAAAGTGTACAATTTTTACTTGAGCACAGTTCCAGTAAGGAATGTTCAACTGTCGGTCATTGGTGCTGCAAGCGACATCGGATCTAAATTAGCATTATTACTTAAGAAGAACGACAAAATCACCAAACTAAATATTTACGATTATGATTCTAAAATCCATGGTCTAGCAATTGAGCTGAATCAGATTCCTGGCGGTCCTACCGTGTCCTCCTATGATGGCGAGAAAGATTTACCGGCGGCGATTACTCAGTCCAACCTTATACTCATGGTGGCCAGAACTCATCCCACGAAAGGTGTCACAAGTAGCACGATGCTGCAGGCCAATGCACCTGCTGTTCAGAAGCTATGCAAAGCGATTTCTGAAAACAATCCAGATGCATTTTTGGCTATATCAACTAATCCAATAAATTCTATGATGCCTTTTGCGAGTGCTATGTTGTATAGGTACAACTGCTACAATCCGTTCAAAATTTTTGGTATCACACACATTGACACTGCTAGGGCTAGATCGTACGCTGGGAAAACGTTACAAGCGAATCCTCGACATTTACAAATACCTGTGATTGGTGGTCATTCCGAGCAGACGGTAGTCCCTTTATTTTCCAATTTAACACCGGATTTCTACACCCTAGACATTGATCAAGCGGATCTTTTGACGAGACTAGTGAAGAAAGCTGACACAGAAGTTTTAAATTTGAAAGGTGGAAACGAATCGGCAGTCGTATCTGTAGCGTGGTCCGTTTACGAATTTGCGGAAGGATTGGTGGACGCTCTTTGGGGACACGAAGCTGAGGTACACAGTTTTACAGCCAACCCTCATTTTGGTACGAGATTTTTCGGAGGACCCACAATTGTAGGCCCTCACGGCATAGTAAGAACATGTTCAAATTTCCAAATGAGTAATTTGGAATGTGGACTTCTGAGTGACGCTGTTTCAGTAATAAATAAAGATGTTGCGTTAGGAGAAGACTTATGTGGCGCTTATTATTAAAATGATATTGTTTGGTCACCTTTAAACTTGGCAGTACTTTAAGACTAACTTTCGAGATATCGTTACTATCTGAAGTATTTATCGTCCTTGTTTGTCTATTCCGTTTTAAGAAATTTTATTAAACGTGACCGGTGGGATATGTGTTTTTATTTTTTTAGTTTGTATTTTTTTACTGACGGGGCCAAGTTATTTCTGTCAGTTGGGCCGACGACGAGGACTTTTAACTTTCGTGGTCCTGAACAGTGATAACCGTAGTAACTTGTGGCAAGTGATAATTATTTTCATTAGTATGGGGAGAGTTTCAAATATTTTTAAACAATTAGGTACTTAACATGAAAATATAATATGGCTTAGGTACATCTTACAGAAAACATCCGCAAAATTATAGTATATATCGGTATGAGTGTTAAAATTTACAGGATGAATAAACAGGTGGAGCACGAGGACTTGTAAGTACTCCGTGCTTTAACCAGGTGGAGAACCCAGGTGCAGCACGAATCCGCAGCCGACTTCGCAAGATCGCTCGGAATGATACTGAGGCGTTGTAGACTCTAATAATTGTTAAGATACTATACTATATAGATGCATGGAACTACCTGACGCGCGGTGACATCCTTCTCTCCCCTATCGCATCTCATCTGAGGAGCTTTTTATGTACTTCGTACACAAAATGACGGGTTCTAGCGGAATACTGATATCTTTCAGGTAACTTTATTCCGATAAAATGTTATTTCAAACGAATGTGAGACTAACAGTATCTTTGGTTTGAACGTTTATGATTTCTTGAAACCAATACTTAATATTATAACTATCTATTTATTTTGATTGTTTCGTGCAGTTCTGTTTCATGGTAATTCATCATCTTTAAATAGATCGTCCTCACTTTTCTATTACTAATCTACTAATCTGATTTACTTGTTGACATGCAAAATGTGGCTCTAAACCTATTTAACATTTTTTAATTCGGTGTATCGGAACGGAAGCCTAAACCTTCGAATATGGTTTAATAAAATATTATTTCAAAAAATGTAAGT